CCCCAAAACCCCAAAACCCCAAAACCCCAGAGGGGAGATGGGGGATTGAGAGGAGGGATATGGTGGAGAGGATTGGGGGGTTTATAATTATTTGGAAAAGGAATTTTGCTTTGGTTCGGGATTTTTGTTGTGATCTTTGGTCTTGATTTTTGAATGATGAGCGTTTTGAGGGAGCTTTATAGGAAAAGAAACAATTAAAAATGGGTAGTCTTAACTTTAGCTGAGATCCCTTGAGAGCAAGAGTTGGAAGAGCTGTCTCTATTATTTTGAATTTTGACTTTCTTTTCTTCTTTATTTCGATTTTTTTGACGCATTTCAACAGTCATCTTATTATTGCATTGGGCGAGCTCTCCATCTTGTCAAGATGGTTTCTGATATTTTTAGCATCTATGGAACTATCATGAGAGCAATCTTGGGTGATTGGCCTTTGCATGGAACTGCATAATGATTTAGTTGGCTTTGTTTGTTTGAATTTAGAGCCTTGCTTTCTTCAAGTATCTTGCTTTCTTCAAACGGATTATATTTGCAGGATTCAAGCTTAACTTCAGACAAATATCTTGTCGTATCTTCAGATAGTCTCCGAGCATTGAGGGTTTTCAAAATATCTTCAGGAAGATGCCAGTGAGATTCCTCATCAAAATTCTGTTCCAAAATGCTGAGAGTCTCCAAAGTATGACCGTCATATAAATATTCTGTATCTTCTAGTTCATCATCAACGATTTCATCATCTTTAGCTTTCAAAAGAGTATAGAAATCATCAGCCAAGAACGGCTCAATAGAAGCCTCTTCCTTTTTATTTCCTAGATTCTTAACACCTATCACCTCCACAAGCCCCTTCAGCAACCCTCACAGCTTCACCACCTTCATCAGTTCCCTCTTCTCCTTCTCAAAGACACACTTCACGAACCCCTTCTCCCTCTCCTCCATCCTTTCCACACAAATCTTTACCTCCAGCACATGTCTCCTAAACACCGCTACCTCATTCCTCTGAATCAGCGTGCAAAGGTCTCTTCACAGTCCCAAGTCAGGCCCCTTGCTGGCTTCCATTTTATATTATTACTAGGTATATTAATTCAGCTTTGGGCTTTGGAACAGGGGTTTTGGGGTTTTGGGGTTTTGGGG